TTCTTAGATTCTTGGATTCTTGGATTCTTGGATTCTTAGATTCTTGGATTCTTGGATTCTTAGATTCTTGGATTCTTAGATTCTTGGATTCTTATATTCTTGGATTCTTGGATTCTTAGATTCTTGGATTCTTGGATTCTTAGATTCTTGGATTCTTGGATTCTTAGATTCTTGGATTCTTAGATTCTTGGATTCTTAGATTCTTGGATTCTTAGATTCTTGGATTCTTAGATTCTTGGATTCTTGGATTCTTAGATTCTTGGATTCTTGGATTCTTAGATTCTTGGATTCTTAGATTCTTGGATTCTTAGATTCTTGGATTCTTAGATTCTTGGATTCTTAGATTCTTGGATTCTTAGATTCTTGGATTCTTAGATTATTGAAATTTTGTTTTGAAAAATTTTGAAAATTCTCTGAATTTTTAGAATTTCGAAATGTTCATATCTTTAATCCTACGAATTTTTTAAAAAATTGAAATTTTGGGATTTTCGAGTTTTCGAAATTTTGATCTACCTTCCTTTCCCGCAATTTTGTTGTCTTTTTTTCGCCTTTTTTGTATCTGATTCGCACTTTACCCAATTTTTCACAAATTTTCCCCAATTTCTTGTTTCCAGAAAGTCTCCGGAGGTCTTTTCTCTCCGCGTTCCAATATAGTCTGGAAACAATTCGGCGATAGACAGAGTGAGAAATGACGTCATATGTCACTAACTTTCTTCGCGGAAAGCGGCGGAAAGCTGAATGTGAGTTTTTTGAGTTTTCCAGGGGGAAAATAGAGGAAAAATCGGAGGTTTTGGTGCAAAAATCACGTTTCTAGGTCAATTTTGAAGCTAGTTATGACGATTTTTAGTTTTACTGAGGCTTAGCAATTTTTACTGAGGCTTCGGAATTTTTTACTGAGGCTTAGGAATTTTTACTGAGGCTTAGAGAATTTTTTACTGAGGCTTAGAAATTTTTACTGAGGCTTAGCAATTTTTACTGAGGCTTCGGAATTTTTTACTGAGGCTTAGGAATTTTTACTGAGGCTTAGAGAATTTTTTACTGAGGCTTAGAAATTTTTACTGAGGCTTAGCAATTTTTACTGAGGCTTCGGAATTTTTTACTGAGGCTTAGGAATTTTTACTGAGGCTTAGAGAATTTTTTACTGAGGCTTAGAAATTTTTACTGAGACTTAGAGAGTTTTTACTGAGGCTTGGGGGTTTTTACTGAGGCTTAGAGATTTTTACTGAGGCTTACGAAAAAAATTTTTTTTGAAAAATTTAACAAATCTATGAATTTCTTTTTCAGCGAATTCTGAAGACACTACCGGGGCATCGTCATCTTCCCAATTTCCACCTCGCCCACCATCATCATCGGGTCAATCGACATCGACGTCATCAGCGGTTCTAAGTCACTCATCGACAGCTTCTTCGATGAATTTCCTCACGCCGTCATCTGCCACGTCACCATCCACGTCTCGTCCATCTGGCAGACATAATGGAACGGTTTCTGAGCGAGTTGCCGGACGACTGAGAAGTGGTGGAACCGGCGTGCCCCCTGAAGCGTTTGGTGGTGGATTTCCGGGACATCGGAGACAGCACTCGAGTCGTGAGTTTGTTTTTACTGAGGCTTAGATACAGTAACGGTCAATTTCGACCATTTTCATTTTTTTGACCATTTTCAAGGGTCCAGCCGAGCTCCAGGCTCTTGAAAATGGTCGAAATTGCCGGAAATTGTACTTAAAAATGACACCTAGTTCCAGCTGGACACCTACAACAATTCCAACAACAACTTCAAAGTCGTCAGGAGGAGATCAACGCCAGAATCGCGAGTAGACGTCAGCCAAGGGAGATTCCGTATGATCCGGACGCGCGACCACCTAAGTTCAAGTCACGGAGTCCGTTGTGAGTTTTTTTGAGCAGTTTGGGGGATAGATGTGGAATGCGCCTGAGGCGCACCAGACAGTTGTTTGAAGCGCCAGAAGCGAAACATACAAGCTTGAGCTAGAAAATGGAAGAAATTAGGCCAGCCAAGACGACTCCAGACTGAATCTGGTGGCCTAGGAAAGCCTAGAAAAAAAAAGTTAAGCCAGGATATCTTGAAAATTCCGAATTGGAAGCTTGAAATTCCGAAATTCTTGCAGCTCTCAAAGCAAACTACACCTACAACCCAAAGACTTTCGTTTGGTGATCATGGAGAATCCGATTTACGTCCTCTACGACTCCAAAACCATCGTACGGATTGGCGACGACGGTCACGATTCAGACGCCACCCAATCGGACTGCAAACTCTTTGATCAGTATAGGAAACGAGCCGACTCGTTCAAAATGACCAAAATGGTGTTTGGGTCGGGCTCGTCTAGTGAGGCGTTTCGTCTTCATGTTTGGGAGTGAGTTTTGGCTTGTTTTGAATCAGAAAGTTATGAATTTTGGGCTTGGTTTGCCTAAAATAGGTCCCAGGGACATTATTCACATTGTAACAGTCAGTTTAGGAGAAGAATCGAATTTCTAGGTCAATTTTAAAGAAAGTTATGGCAGTTTTTGGGTTTACTGAGGCTTAGGAAGTTTTACTGAGACTCCGGGACTCATAATTGCTTATAGAACGACATTTTTAACGAAAATCCCACTAATTGGCTTTTTGAGAGCTTCAAAATGAGTATAATAGCTATAATAGTGAATATGACCATGTCCCAACTCTACGAAATTTTCAAATTTCCCGCCACCGCTTGTCCACGAGGAGTCCAAAAACTAGTTGTTTCAAAATTCGGTATTTTTCAGCATTATTATACTCATTTTGAAGCTTACGAACATCCTATTCTGAAATTTAAGACATTCAAAAGCATAGTCAAGATTTTTCAGTCAATTTGGTTAAAAAATCAGATTTCTAGGTCGATTTTGAGCAAAGTTAGGGACCATTTTCGATTTCCGTGATTTTATTGATAGTTTTGGCTTTTTTATATGAAAGTCTCATTTATTGGCTCTTTGAGAGCTTCAAAATGAGTATAATCATGACCCAACTCCGAGAAAATTTTAAATTTCCCGCCACCACTTGTCCACGAGGAGTCCAAAACTCGTTTTGAAACTCTGGATTTTTCGGTCATTTTTGTACAAAAATGGGATATCCAGGTCAATTTTTAAAAGAAGTTATAGCGATTACATATTTTACTGAAGCTTAGGATTGTTCCTGAAGCTCAATTTCTAATTTTCAGAGAAAAGAAAGTGCTCCTCGTCAGCAAATCGTTCCGAATGCCCAAATACCGTATGCCCGACGACGCCATCGATAGACAACTGAAGGCGGAGAAGAAGGCGCGAGAGGAGAAGATCAAAAAAGAGAAAGAAGCGAAAGAGGCGGCGGCTCGACTGGCAGCCGCTGAGCTCAAGCGAGCTCGTGATTCAGGATCAACAACTCGTTCCGGAGCGTCTTATCAGGCGATTCTAGGCCCAGATGGTCTCCCAATCGAAGAACCTCCAGCAAAAAAGGCCGCCACAACGCCGGTGGAGATTCCAGAAGAGGATGACGACGATCCGATAGATGACGACAGATCCCCGCCTGCAAAACGACCGAAATTCATACGCGTCCCTGAAGCGCCATCATCAGATTCGGACTCCCAGAGTACAGTAACCTCGATGGATGGTTGGAGAACACGAACCACGAATTCTATCATGACGACGCCTGAAGGATTCAATAGAGTACGACACGCGTCGTGGAACTATGGAGCCGACGAGGATTCAGAATCCCAACTATTCGGATCTGCGGGATCCTCGATGAGCCTACCAAGGGCGTTCTCGCCGCCACATCGAATCGCAAGGAATCGAAGAAGACAGATGGCGGTGACCACTAGTTTGAGTGAGACTTCATGTAAGTAAAAATACGGAAAATTCCAGAAATTTTAGTAGAAAAATCAGTTTTCTAGGTCGATTTTGAGCAAAGTTATGACGATTTTTGGTTTTACTAAGGCTTAGAAATTTTTACTGAGGCTTAGCAATTTTTACTGAGGCTTAGCAATTTTTTACTGAGGCTTAGCAATTTTTACTGAGGCTTAGGAATTTTTTACTGAGGCTTAGGAATTTTTACTGAGGCTTATGAACTTTTTACTGAGGCTTAGGAGTTTTTACTGAGGCTTAGGGATTTATTCCAAAAATTCAGAAATCCAAAAAATCTAAATTTTCAGAAATTTGAAAATTCCAAAATATCCGAAAATTTAGAAGAAATAGAAATTTCGAAAATTACAGAAATTCGAAAATTTTAAATTCAGAAATTTAAAAAATAGAGAATTCGGAATTTTTGGAGTTTAGAAACTCAAAACTCCCAAAATTTCTGAAATTCGCAATTTTATAAATTCCGAAATGTGAAATTTGAAAGTTTAGAAATTTCACAATTCCACAAGTTCGGAAGTCAAAAATTAAAAAATTTTGAAAAAAACGGAATTCTAGAAATTTTGGAAATTTGAAAAAAAAAGAATTTCGCTTCAGTGAAGCTTAGAATTTGTGGCATTTTGATCATTTTTAAAGCTGTTAGCTACCGTAATCCCCTGTTTCACCAAATTCATCCCCCCTTCTCTCAGCCACCACCCAAACCCCGAATGGAAGTATCAAAGGAGGACGTTCTCGTGTGTGTTCCATCTCCACAATTCCAGACGACGATCATCCGTGGCCGCTGGTCCGTTGGCGTACTGTAGCCATTGGAATCGTCGTCCCATTCAAACATCGCTCGTTTCTATTCCAACACATTCCGGTCATCGAGGCTGAAATGGCTGTCCTAGAGGCGCGAATCAAGAAATCAGCCTCACGAAAACGAGTTTTCATGTCTTATATGTACAATTCATGGGGAGAAATGATGGAGAAAATGTGTCAGATATACAATGCACCGAGACTCGAACTACCGTACTGGTTGGCGTTGAATGGAAAGTGTCAACTGGATGAAAGGACCCTGGCTGTGGAGTTTTGTGAACATTTGGCATATTTGGTTAGGAGATATGATCGAAAGGAGACGGGATTGTGAGTTTTGGGATTTCTAAAATTTTCTAAAAAATGAAATTTTCAGTTTCCTATCAAATTTGGTCACTGCTCTCCTAATGCACCATATGTCATGGGTTGCCAGCGTCGCAGCTCCGCCTCTCGCTTCTGCCGCCGACGCTAGAAGATCCCAACAGAATCTGTTCTTTGGACTGGGCGTCAAAGACGATGCTCCAACGATTGGGTATAACGCTCTGATGGCTCAGTATCTGGAAATTTCGGGATCTTGTGGGAATGTTCGCTCGGCGAAAGTCTGTATTCTTGGAGACGACGTGGAGATCATGGCGGCGATTCTGTCGACGCTCTCCTTCTTCATTCGATGCTCGGCGGTTAGACATATTAGTGAGTTTTTTTTTATGTGTATTTTTTTCAGATTGTTAGGAATTTTGAAATTTTGTGGAAAAAATAGCTTAAAATTGAAATTGAGGAAAATGGCTCATTTTTAGCATTTACGATTTGCCGATGTTTTTTCGAAGATATTTTAGAATTTTAGAATTTTTATTGAAAAAAGCTTTGAAAATTCAAAATTTTGGTACAGAAATCAAGTTTCTCGGTTCATTTTGAAGCGAGTTGCAGCCCTTTTTGTTCTGAAGGCGCGGTAAGCTAGAGGTGATGAGCTGCGCGCGCGCTGTTCATCACCTCCGGCTGAGCGTGCCTTCAGCTATAACTCGGCTCAAAATAAAGCTAGAATCTTGGTTTTTTAACCAAAATACTCAGAATTAACAAAAAAAGCTTTCCAATTGAAAATTCCAGGTAGAAATCATTGTTTTCTTTCTTTTTCATATTTTCTCATTGGTAGATTTAGATCTCTTGTAACTGCTTTCAAAATTGAGGTAGAGATATGAAACTAGTACCGAAATGTTCACCAAATTATGCCAATTTGAAGTTTCAAGGCGTTTACTGAGGCTTATAATCTATTTCAGACAGCGACGAGAACCTCGAAGTGCCTACCGAGCAACCGTTCTCCCCGTGCGACGCCACCACTGGATCTCCAGACGCCACGTGTCAACACCAACACGTCCCCATCGATAACAACGGACCATCGACGTCATCAGCCATCCCACAGCCATCTACAGTAATCATAGATCGCTTCCAACTGCATCCAGAAGAGACGTCTTCGGTGAAAATGATGCGAAAATTGAGGAAAAATGTGTTGAAGGGGGAAACTGAGGCAGCGGCGGCGGCGGCTGCTAAAACGACGTCAGAGCCATCGGAGATTGCTGGAGAGACTGTGCTTCTGACGTCGTCTGATTCGGCGTCAGCGGATTCGGAAACCCCCGTGGATTCTGCGATGGAAATTGAGGATTACGCGATGATCAGTGAATCTACTGATATGTACACCCCGGGAACTGAAAACGATCGATCGCTGGCGCGATCGATGTTCGCTGGAACGCTGGAAGACTTTTGTCCGCATTTCGTGCTCTCTGCGGTCACAAAAAGCGAGGCGGACATGTCGGAAGTTTATTCGAAGTGAGTTTCGGAACATTCTAGCGAAAATTCCGGTCATTTTGGTGAAAAAATCACATTCCTAGCGCAATTTTGAGCAAAGTTACAG